GCCTGGCACAGTGACAAGTTCGCAACGACACTACTTCAGAAGTGCGGCCTCTGGCGTCGGAGGCGGTGGGCCAGCCAGGGTTCTAGGAGAAGGGGACGCCTCGCGTGGGCAACAAACGCAACACACAACGAGTGACATGACATTGACCCAGCCTTGGGCAGGGTCCGTCAAACTGCGGCGAGCGCATGGGTTGCCGGAACGCCTCCTCCACATCTATCATAGGTGCCAACGGCTTCCAGGTGCAGCCCGTGAGGTGCTGATTGGAGGAGACAGCCGCCCAAGACCTTCACGGCCAAGATGACTTTGCAATCCTCATTCACCTAACCATGCGGCTGGCATGTGTGCAAACCCGTTGCTCAGGCATGCCTCTAAATCTTCGGGAGCTGGCTGCCCGAGCCCGTCATTGCCCGCCACGCGGTCCGCGGTGATTCGCACGGCCTGGCGGAAACGCCGTCATTTCTTGTCATAACACTTTCTGTGACAACGCCTCTTTGCTGATGCAGTGTGTCTGTCCCAAAGAAACGCTCACCACCTGAAGCTAACATGCTGGCTGCCACCAACAGAAACCGAACAGCCGATGGCAAATTCCTGCATGTGCTAGGGACCACGCACCAGGCTTGGAACGTAGCGGTGGAAGCGGCAGAATCACCTCTTCAAGGAGGATGTCAGGATCATCCTGACCGCGCACTTCGACAGGGCATGGGAATGTTGGGGACAAGCTGACTCAAACCTGAGTGCATTCTGCAACATTGTAACGCATTAGTATGGACAGCACACATGCACAAACCTCATGAACTTGACGGCCTCGACAAAGTCATCCCATTCATCCTCTGAAGCTTCACCATTGAAGTCCGCGTCTTCATCATGGCGGAATGTACCGTGTGAAGATTGCTTCAGCAAATGCAGGGTGGACCAGTAGCATGAATTGGAAGGGAAGACATACAATTTGATGAACGCATTCATGTTGTGTACTACGGGAGGATACAGTCACATTGCTTGCAAAAAGCACGCCTGCACACATACGAAGTGAGAAAGCATTGCTCTGCCTGAAAAGAAACAACGCTTTTGAATGGCCGTCGTCCTTAAAGGTTGTTCACCCAAGCCTGCTGCACAATGCGCCGCCCCGAAGGTCGGCGTCGGATAAGCACCCGCAGCAAACCAATCAGGCAAAGCTGGCCGAGGTCGCCCTCACCTGGCCATGCAAGACCCGCAATGGAACGGTGTGTGTCGAACGACTGCATTTGCCATCATGAACTCTGCGGCTGCGTCCCTCCTTGGCGCTGGGCCTGCTGCCATTGCTGCATTGCTGGGGAGTTCTGCCACGACGCTGCACCCAGCGGGAAGAAGGTTGACGTACGCGCTTTGGCTGTGCGAGAATCCAAGAGTCATTGTGGCCGTGCCTGCTTCGGCTCTGGCGGCATGGAGCGTCCCGGCTCACGTGTGCGGAGGTTGTGGAGCCCCTGAAGCTCCTGCGCTAAGGGATGCTTTATTCATGCACGTGGCTAGGGCTGTGGGCGTTGGGGGCAAGGGGTTGGTGCGCTTCAAGCCTGGGCGGCTCCGCAAACCATATTTACGAATTCTCTACGAGTGGACACACGCATGCGAAGAGGTCTCAATACAAAGGTTTGTGCAGCAATTCAAAGAACTTGTCATAAAACCAGGCGTGGCACCAAGTGTCGCTTTGGGGGCGTCAAATAGCCGTGAGCTGTCGCACATAACTGAACTCCTTGGACCCCTTGGACCTGGAGAGTTGATCCCATCCGGCCTCCAAGCCCAAAGATCGAAACAAAGAAACAAACAAAGAACGAAATCAAGAGAGAAAGACAAACGATAAAATACATGAATAAAGAAACAACAAAATACAGAAACACACAGATAATGAAAGAGAGACATAAAGAACAACATACAACATAAAGCCAGAAACGAAGCAAAACATAAAGAAAGACCATCATAAATAAACAAAGAAAGAAACACACGAAGAACAACATAAACAAATAAACAATCCATAAATTACTGAATACATGAAAAATAACAACTCAAATACACAGAAAATACAGAAAGAAACAGATAAATAAACAAATAAATAAAGAAAGAGATTCCTAACGAATAAAGAACAACACAACCAACAAACAGTTAGCACACATGGCAGCAGCATGGTAAGAAGCCCCGTAAGCCCGAATTGTCCAAGGGGCTCTGTTTCCATGTGCTCGATCAGGTCGGCGTCAATGGGCCATCCAGCGCGGGCTGGCTTGACACCTTGTCACAGGGACAGCGTCCAAGAACAAAGGGTTGGCAACCATTGTTCTCAATTCTTCAACTTTCAATTGCCGTCTGTCTTGCAGGACATTGGCACCGGCGCCAAGAACTCTGCCCCATCAGGATGCACAAAAGCATATAACTCATACATAACAATGAGCGGCACCGCCAATAAAAGGGAAACCGAGCTAGGCCGCTTTGACTACACAATACTACACACAGGGAATGCAGAGACAATGACATAGGCTGGCAAGCAAACCAACACTGTATCATTGGAAAGCAATTTTGACGAGATCATAGCGCAGGCAACACCCAAAGGGCCAGGGGGGCAGGGCATCGCCCGTGCCAGTTGAACGAGCAGCATGAGTCGCATGGCATCCGACTTGAGGTTCGCAATGGGTCGAGATTTAAATTGAGATGTGTGTTTTATTTTGGGATTTTTTGTTTTCCGCCCTGGCTACTAAAATACTATAATTTACAGCATTTTCTCGCGAAATGTAATCTATGCTAGTCCGTCAACATCATCAGCATCGTTTTCAACATCCCCCGCATGTCCAGTTAACATCCCCAGCATCACCAGCAAATCGAGGGCCTTGGCTTCCTACATCTTCAGCTCTCCGGCAATTTATGTATGCATGTTAAAAAGAGGGGCGGGTCCCTGTCATGATGGTAAAAGTGAGGATTCAACTACGAGCAAACTAATCCCTGTAAAACACCTAAAACGTAGCGGGGGGTTGGGGGGGGCTGCCGCCCCCCCCATGATGATTGAAAAAGTGATGATTCAATTAGGGCCAAAAAACATATATATAAAAAAAGCGGCGGGGGGGTTGGGGGCCCCCCCCCCCCCCATGATGATCGAAAAAGTGATGATTCAATTGGGGGCAAAAAGTCTAAACAGTCGCGGGGAGGTTGGGGGGGCGGGGGGGCGGCAGCCCCCCCATGATGATCGAAAAAGTGATGATTCGGGCAAATATATGTATATATATATATAAATGCAGCGGGGGGGTTGGGCGGGGCGGCAGCCCCCCCCCACCCATGATGAAAGAATCTAAAAAGTAGCTGTCGCATGATGATCGAAAAAGTGCTGATTCAATTAGGCGTGCATTTTAATCGAAAGGGGGGTGGCGGGGGGGCACCAGAGAGGAACTGGCGATGCTGATGATGCACGAAGCCAAGGCCAAAAACCAACTGGGAAAGCAGAGGATGCGATAAGCCAAAGCCAGAAAGCCGCCAAAAGCCACAGAGGATGCTAAAAGCCAAAGCCGCAAAAGTCGCATGAACCCACAAAGACGAACAGAGAGGAACTGTGAATGCAGAGGATGCAAAATGAAAAGCCACAAAAACCCACGTAAAAGCCACAAAACCAAAAAGCCGAAAAGTCACCCACCCTGAAAAAAAAAATACCTAAAAAAATGGCCCTCCAAAAGAAAATGGGTTAGTCCTTTCGGCTTTTCCCTTTTTTTGACCCCAAACATACAACTCGACAAAACCCAAGGGAGCTGGACCAGGGCCCACAGAGAGGGGCTGGGGTTTTCTTTCGCCAAGGGGGAACCAGAAGAAGATGCATCGTGTCAGGCAAACCCCTCTGTCCAGGTGTTTGGGCTTGAGTTGAACCAGGCTCTTTGGAGGTGTTTCCCAGGGAAAGCCGGAGGCATGGCCAACCAACTCTAGAAAGCTTCGCCAACTGGCCATTCCTTCGCTGCAAAACGAGCTCGGCTTGTGGGAAGCCAGTGCGAGGTTTCAGGTACTTGCCAGTGCTCGAAGGTGAAAAAATGGTCCGGTCTTGGCTTCTGCGGGCAGAAGTTGATGTCCAATTGATCTGCGCGCATCTCTGCAGGCTTTCGGGTTGGACATAGGAAGTGGCGAGTGGAACGAGGTGGCGAGTGGCCAAACGATTGACGTAGGATGAGGGTGAACCCAGCAATCGAAATATTGGGCTCGGGTTGGCATGTTGCTGGGATTCGAGCTAGGGCCTGGGTGTGCACATCCCCCAAACCTGCAAACCCCCAAACACCCCCCCCCCCCCCAGTTCCTCAGGTTCTGCAAGATAGTCGCGAGCGTAGAGCATCAACTCTGTGACACTGTTAAATTTGGATCTCAAGCCACTTTGCCTTGCTGGCCCCAGCTTGATTTGGGATTGCAGTTTGGCTGTCTTCGTGTTGGTTTCTGGTGGGTTTTGGCAGCTCTAGGCTAGAACAAGGTCGCCTCCTGAACCCACCAACCCTACATCAGAAACCCAACCTGCATGCGCAGCCAGCCTAAACCATGAAGCAACCCGAAGCTGAGCCTAACCCCTTAGACCAAACTTGAATCCGAACCTGAAGGGATGGCTGTGTTACAATTGATCTTCGGTGGGTTGGTACAAGGCACCGACCGACTAACTAGGGAGAAAAGACACGGGCCCGAAACAAATGGGTAGCTTCCTTAAAAGTGCGTTTCCCTCCTCACATAGATGGCTTTGAGGAGATGCCCCATGCAGGTGCCTCAGAAAAAATGACCAGTCTCTACTGGGCTGTGCTCAGATCCCCCGCGTACACTAAAAGGCTAAAAAGCTAAGGGGATGGCTGGGAACCACCAAGTCTAGGCTTGGAAGCCCTTCTTCGCCACCGTGGCCACCTGTCAGCACTTTATGCAAACAACGGGGGGAAGGGAACGAAGCAAAGGAAGTTTGCAAGAATCATCCATTCCCCCGCAAAGGAGGCTCAAGGGAACGAAACGAAGGAAGTTTGCAGAATCATCGGCTCCTCCAGCACGGACACCCCATGTCGCAGGTGCCACTCCTGGCAAAGTCAAGTGGACACTTTGCATCTCTCCCCTGCCGTTGCTTGTGGTCTGATGAGAAACCAAATCCAACGATACCAAATCAGCCCAAATAAGGCAAGGTATCCCAGCAACCCCCAAGCAAGCCTTCAGAACCCTGGAGAGTCACTGCAATTTCGCTCCGGAGCCCACTGGGGTGGAGACCCCGAAGCTTTCAGCTGAGGAAATGTTTGGCTGCCCAAATGGACATGGGAAGACAAGTGAGTTTCCCTGTGTCATAGGAAATCTAGTGAACCCCCCCACCCGGATATGTTGCAACCCAACAGAATCTCCCGATTCAACCTGGACAGCCCGGAGCGCAGGAACAAGTCCGCCTGAGATCCAAATAGCCCGTCATAGCCTGCAATCTTCTGAACATGGAGCCTCGCGCCTGGTCCGACCCGTCCAGGTTGGGGTGGGCGCAGTAGCCCTCGTAGCGAGCCTTGGTCCTGCGATGGGACGCGGTATGGGCGTGGGCATCACGTGTCTCTTGGGCGTTGGCTCTTTAAAGGGAAGCCACAAAGAAACCGCAACCTTTGGGGCATTGAGACACGGCCATGGCAAGAGCAACCAAAAGGAAATCCTGGTTTTGACAATGTGTTGGGTACATTCATTGGAAGCCATGTGTTGGACCCCCGAGGTGATGTCGGCTTCACGAACACAACCACTGAAAAGAGGGATCGCCTTTTGGGGAAAAGGATCCAAAACGCCCCCTGTAGGGCTCTCATGATTCACCTGCCGCCCAGTGCAGCTCGAGTGTGGCCCAGCGGAAAATTGACTCGAAGGCCAAACGGAAAGGAACGCCAAAGGGAGGCCTTCAGTAACGCACACCCCGAAGCATGTGCGAGGTTGAAGCCCGAACCGATCCCCAGCCATGAATACTTCCTTCCTTCCTTCCTTCCTTGCTTCAACCAACACCACCCAACACCAACCAACACCAACCGACACCAACCGACACCAACCGACACCAAACGACACCACAGTTGATTTGTCCGCCAGCCCAGAAACGCTCCAGGCTTCAGACACTCCGCGCCTCTCCGTGCGCAGGGGGCCCAGCCGCGAGAAGCCAGCCTGCGGCTCTGCCTCCGGCTCTCCTGCCACGCGCTCCAAGACGTTTTTCCGCGGTCCATCGTAAAACACGGAAAAACAATGCGAACTCTTGGCTTTTGTGGCAAAAAAATCATAAGCGCCCTGGTGTGTGTGTGTGTGTGGGTGTCTGGTGTTTTTGGGTGGGGACATTCATGACTACCCCGGCTTTGGTGGAAAACTCATGAGTACCCACTGGTTTGTTTGGTGGGGAAATTCATGGGTACCCCTGGATTCAAAAGTACCCCATGATACCCCATGTTGTTTTGGTGGAAAACTCAGAACCCCTAGTGTTTGTGGACAATTCATGAGTACACTGTTTTGGTGGGAACATTCATGAGTATCTGCTTATTTTAATGGGAAGTCCTGAGCCCCCTAGTTTGTGTGGAAAACCTATGAGTATTGGTAGGAAAAATCATGAGCCCCGAGGTTGTGTGGAAATTCATGAGCACCCCTCCTTTTTGCGTGAGACATGTCATGAGTCCCACATATCAAACTCACCATACATTCTGGATATGTTGACCGAACGTTTCAGCTCGAAAGGCCCTCTGAACACACGCCGAGGCTGTGCCGGGAAGCATCACAGTGCGTACGGGTCACAGGAACTAGCTGATAGCGCAGCCATAGCTGAGAATGTGAGAGCCAAGCACGGCGCACGCTTCCATTAAAGCTCCTCATAAGGCTCCTTGAAACGCCCCATATAAGGCTCCTTTCAAAGCTCCTTATAAAGCTTTTAACTCCTTGACAAGCTGCGTATAAGGCTCCTTATGCAGTTCCTGGGAAAGCTCCTTGTAAAGCTCCCTTCAAGGCTCCTTATAAGGCTCCTTATGCCAAATTGGATTCTGATTGAAGTTCAAATTATTTCAAACGGACTGTAAACAGCACATGATTCAATGGCAATTTCTGAATTTAAAAGGACAATCCTTTCCGAATTTAACATGAAAGAGTTCCATTGTACTGTCTATCTTCAAATAGAATATAGAAAGGTGTCCTTTGCATGAATAGAGCTTAACAAGGGAGTCATTCACATATGATGTACTATGTTAACTATTATTCAAATGTGAAGTCATTTTATTGAGATTTGAATAAATCTATAATCAGATGCTTGATAGCACTGAAGAAGGACATAATTGAGTTTGAATGTCTACGTTGATTTTAAAATTTATGTAGGATGTGCTTTACAAATAGGATTTTGATAAAGCTATTTGCAATGTAATTCGATTTTGAATAGTTGATTCGATCTAGAATTTCAGTAGAAATTCCATTCCACTTCTGTTTTTACTCAAAGTGAACTGCAGTTCAAGTGGAATTTGATAAGTCCCCTCAGAGGTATTTAGCTTTATGGCTACAAATTCTACTGCAAAGGTAGTCCAGGGGGGGGAGCATCTGTATATACATACATGTATATATATATATATATGTACATACGTGTTCTGCTTTTGCGTATGGTTGAATTCTAACTTAACATCGAAAATCTAGTTCACTGGTCACACCCCTTTACTGCGGCGCCAAGATGGCTTAGTCTTGGCAGTACCAAACTGCCCAAAACAAGGATAAGCTGAAAGAACCAGAAAAAATCAGGGAACACAAAAAAAAATAGCCAACAAATCCTCGAGATAACAAAAAGAACTCTGCGGAAAAGTGGTGGGCTTGCCAAAAGTGTCTCTTGGTTTTCTTGAGGATTTTGTGTCTTGTTGGTTTTCCGCGAGTTTGTTTTGCTATTTTTAAAGTAAAAACCGTTCATGGGGCGCTGACCATAGGTGTATATATATATATATGTGTTCATATCATATATATATATATATATGGTGGAACAGTGGGATGGCCATTCGAAACATGTGTGTCACACCCAAGAGACAAAGCACACTCACTGGTCCTTCTTGGGTCGCAGAAACCACCGGCCCAGGCGGCAGCGGTCCCAATGGCACCGCTGGTGGGCCAGCCATAGCGCCGCCGCCCCCCTAAAAGTTTCGGGCTGTTCAAAAGGGAGACTACTGGAAAAACAAACGCTCTTTTTGTGGGCGGCTCCTTGTGAAAATGGCAAAAACGTACTTTTTGTGGGGGTGGTTGTGGAAATGGGAAAATGGGGTCCATATCCTGTGAGACAAAAAAATGCGCAGTCATCTTTAGGGTTCACGGCTGGGAAGACTCATGATAGGGACATCGCTCGGTCCGACTTGGGTGCACGTCTCGCGCTCAAGTGGAGCTGTATTTTTAAAACCAACATGAGTCATGATAGGGGCAGAATGTTGGTAATGGTTTCGCCCATTCTACTACTTTGGCTGTAAAATTCGAATCACACATTCCACTTCGCGGCAGCCCGGAAATTGGAGGGCAAAAGTCTCAGGGCTTCGGCCGAGAAGCGGAGGGTGTCTTCAACGGTAAAGAAAGAGCAACACCAGCGAGGAACCCAAAAACCCATGACGCTTGGTTCTACCCTGGATAAAAAAATACTCATACAGACCTTACCCCATGCAACCAGGTAGTAGAACCTACTTAAAAAGGGCAAGTCGCTGCGATTGGAGCATTGGTACCCCAAGAGCTTTGTTGCAGGAGGCAGAAAGCACCGGAAACCCGATGGGAAAGGCCTCCCTCTGTGCCCCTTTTTGTTTGTGACTCCGACCCATCTCTTTGCCGCCAACTTTTGTGCGCTCCTTCTCTCATTTTCCACGGGCCCAGCGGGGAAAATGACCGGGTTTCGGGTGTCCTATCGCTCTGTGCTTCCAGCTTCCAGGGCCGTTTGACACAGCACTTACCGGCGGAAAACTGATGCGAAGCATGGAAGGCCCCGCAAAAGACACCGGAAAGGGATTCACAGGCCTGAACGGCCGGTTTTCCTTTGGGTGGTCCAAGAACCACCCCTTTCTAAAACCGAACACTAAGTCTATGGGTGTCTCTCGGGGGCCGTTTTCCATGATATGGGCCCCAAACTCTCCGTTGGCGCCCATAGTCAAGATCATCCTGGGACACTTTGACACTTCGGAATTTCTGCCTCTCTTTTTGGGCTTGTCGCGAAATCATGGGGGAACGCACAAGACCGGTGGTGTCCCCTTGGAGTTTCTCTTCAAACTATCCCCCCAAAAAGTAGTTCACAGGGGAAAAGACAAACCCTTGTGCTGCTTTCCCTCGTGACCATCTGGGAGGCAACTCCGAAGAACGCACTCTGCCTATGGCTCGATGTGCCTGAGCCCACAAGCCTATGCTTGCGCCCAGCGCTGGTGATACGCTTTTCCCCGCTCGAAACACCAAGCTGGGTGCAACAAGAAACCGCCATCCCAAAGCAACTTTCAAGGCTGGGAACGCGAGAAACGCGGAAAAGCGGGTGGCAATACGCAATGGTGCTCCAATTCTACGTAAAGTGGAACACACTAACACATCGGAGTCTCTGCCTGCGCCAAAGTGTTCGAACGACGAACCGGGTCGACAGGTTGGCGGAGTCGCCCGACGGGTGCCTGTCCGAAAATCATGACGTCACGGCCCATATCCTACGCCTTGTTCAGCACGCCACATGGCACCCTGATGAAAACTTCAGTCGGGGAAGTGTCAAATGCCCCCAAGCCAAGCCCCGCAGCAACGAATCGAAAGCGGCATGTCCGAAAAGCTGTGCCTCAAACAAGGGCGAAAACAACCAACCGGCGACCGGCGCACGGTCTTCCGCAAAAGGCTGCGGGGCTGTCGCGGGCTGTGCGAAGCGCGAAGGAGCAAATCCGCTCTCTCCAAGAGGCTGCAAGGGCTCTAGTTGCAATTGTTCCATGGTACGATATCATATACTCCCCCTGCAAATTTAAGTGGAACCCCAAGAACCAAACACGATCCATGTGTTTGTCTTTTTCGGAATCTCGTTTTGGGGTGCTCGCATTGGTTTTTATGCAAATGTGCAAGGAAGAAACTGGAAACGAGGACTCAATCCATCAGGGGGGAAACACATCTTTTGACAGTTCATCTTCGTCTCTGCGCCCCCGGACAGCTCAGAAGCAAGCAGCCTACCAGAAAATCGGGATATGTCGTGCGGGAAAGGGGACAGACTGAAACGGATCGGGGTCTGCGATTCTGCAGCCACCAATTTCAACAGCTACAAAGAGTGCAAGCATTCGTTGCGGAACGCATTCCATTCATTCCATTCCGGATTGGCGTCTCTTGGACGACGGGACATCCCTCAGCGCTTCTTCATCTCCTTAACCACAAAACTGCCGTAGTTGCTCGCAGTGAGGCCTCAGCTAAAACTGAGTGAGGTGAGTGAGATGGGCCCGAGAACCGTTTGGATGTGCACTAGCAAATGATTTTGGCTTCAGACCCATCCCTAAGCTGGTTTTCCAAAACCGGACAGTCCAAAATTGTACCAACGAGTAACAAGATCGTACAGGAACACTGGCCAAGGGTTTTCGCTGTTGGACCCGAAAAAAGTGGCCAACAAATGGACCCTGAACCGCCAAGTTGTGCTTTCTGTTTTCCAAAGACGTTGCCTTACAAGCAGCTAGTTGAAGGGAAAAGCAGCAACTGGCGATCCAGCTGGTAACCCTCCTGCTTCAGATTTCAAGTCCAAACGTCACTCCGCACAGATTCAATCCCTGTTTTCCCCACTTCTGAGTGCGGAATATAAATCCCCATAAAGAGGCTTGGTTTCCTTATGGCTTCCCTTTCAAAACCATCACACAACCGGATCTGTTGCAAGAAACCCTCGCAGGAGTCGCAGCTGGTCGCAAGGCTTGCTCTGACCCGGTTTTGGGCTCCAAAAACCGGAACCAAAGCCGTGAGGATTTGAGGGGTGTGTGTGTGTGTTTTTCAAGGGGAACCACCCAAAAATGGGTTTCCTTTTATGGCGTCTGCTTGAAATCCAAAGAGGGGGTACTCCAACCACAACTTGGGGGTTGTGTCAAAACTGAGAACACACACACACACACAGATACACATACCCCGCCAAAGAAAAAACCAGGTGTTGTTTGTCCCCCCAAGCGAAGGGGCCCAAACCACAAAGTCACATTTCGATCCAAAAGGAGCCATCGCAGCGCTGACGAGGCGCTAGCCAGCTCCTCACAATTCAAGAGTCAAAGGCCAAGACCTCTCAACTGGGTCGGTGGTTCAAAGGAAACTACCCTCCCCCAGACTAACATGGAAGCTCCCGAACGGACCCCGAAATGCAAGACTTGGTTTCATTTACAGAGGCCTTCTGGGAGCTGCCATATGAGTCTTTCCGAGAACCTCTCAACATGTTCACATAAAGGGGCCAGGGCCCTTGCCGCTCAAAACCCCGGACCGCTTTGGGGTGGAACAGGCGTTTATTTTATTGGGGGGCGCCCTCGTGGAAGTTGGCAAGTGAAGCCAACTACAAGGGCTCTGACGTGAGTAGCAAAAAGCAAGGACAGAGTTTCTGGTCATTTCCAGTTAAAAAAAGAGCAACACAAACAAACAAACACAACTGTGTCACAGAAGGAACGACCAGCTCCCAAAGACGAGAACAAATAGCTGAGTGGCCACGTGAAGAATCTGGAAAAAGGCATGGATCAGCTGATTCATAGGCAGACCGCGGGCCTCTGGTTGTTTTGGGCCTCTCTTTTTTTTTGGGGGGGGACCATCCCGCCAAGCTGCCCGTTTAATTTCCCATGTGTCAAAATATGCACCCCTAAAATGGGTGGCTATTCTTTTGATTTTCGTTTAGACTAACCTTGAAAAGGGCATCCTCAAGAAAGCAAATCTATAATATATATATATATATACATACATACCCAATTGACAACAAAGATCTTCTCCTGGTCTATTGGCTACCAGAAACAGTTGGGGGTCGGAAAATTGAACAGATACCTCCTTCCCACTGTTGGGTGCTTGGCAAAGAAGTTGTCGGCCCCGGTGGTATACTCGTCAATTTTAAACTCCTATCTCCCCTCGCGCCTATTCAATACTCATCGCAAAAGGGAGTGGACACAACATGTTCGAACGTTCTTACCAGTAATGTGCCACATGTTCATTCATCAAAAATGTTCAAAGCCTCAATCTTGGACCAAAAGGGTATCATTTGCAAGAAAGGGCATGTATTTCCCAACATATTGGCTGGTAACAGCAGCTTGAAGCCACCACAGCCAGTCACAAACAGGGTTCCTTTCAGGATACAGCCAACGCCCCATGCCGTAGGATTCAGATCGTTGTTCAGCTGATCTGGGCCATTTCTTCGCCGGATCCAACAACCTTCCCTCCCCCCCCCAGTTCTGGCGACTCCTCCGCATTGCTGGCCATGGCGTCCTTGAGCAATTGCCTCTCCTCCGGTGCACCTCGAAATCCAGGGCCTTCTGTAGGTGGGGTTCCTTTTGGAAAAATAGATGGCCCTGGTAAACGGGATCAACCCCATCTAAACCAGTGGAACCCCTCTATGTTCAACCAAACTCACCTAAAAAGGACACCTATGCCTATGCCCCCGTATCGAAGGTAAGCCAACCATACGCCAAGGGGAGATTCTCGGTACGCATCCGCGATCCATACTTTATCACTTCAATGAGGCTTCCTTTAGCACGGAAACTGGCCTATCCCGCTCTGAAGCCGAGACAAATCTGCGGAACTCATCCCTCTCAGGATTCTTTTGCCTAAGATCCCTTCCAGACACCTCGGGAGGTGAGAACATCGCCTTTCAGGAGAGACAAATAACACAGAACCTACAAAAAGGGCCCTGGGTCCCACCGGTCCTTGGAATGGACTCTTGAGGAGCCCTTGTGCTCCATCTGTAGGATCAAGGGTTCCTTTCAGGTGACCCTTTTGCGTTGCAAGACTCGAGGCCCGGAAATGGTAGGGTGCCTTTGATGGCAAGGTGACGGATTTGCTGGAGTGTTGTCGGGGAACTCTTTCAAGTTCCAAAGAGAATCAAAGAGCACCTTAAAATCACCTAAGGGAGTGCCCGTTGATTAGTCGGATAGCAACCCACCTTTTGTCCGGTTTAAAAAGCCAGCTATTCAAGACCTAAGCGGAGTGCCCGTTAACAACCCACCATTTTCTCGGTTTGAACAAAAAGCACTGCCAGCTATTCAGCAATGCCCAGGGTCCTTCGGTCGAAAAAACTACGGCGCCAAGGAGCTGTGCAGCAGGGCACATTCCACCACATGGCTCGCCACCTGCGCGAAGCGAGCCATACCGAATGGGTTGGGACATCCCACCCACTCCCCTGCAAACTCCCCTGAAACCCAAAAAGGCCCTAAAGAAAATGAGATTACTTTAAACACTTGCTTTTTACGTACCACGTTTAATCTGCAATGTAACCCACTGGAAAGAACCGATTCGTGGTGAGTTTGGCATAGATTCCTGACGTTTCGCCGTAATTCTCGTGTTCGGGCGGGAACTTCGAGTGTGCCGAGCTCCTGGCATTTTTAACGGTCGAACCTTCCAAACAGAAGGCACTTGGAGGGTCCCTGAAAAATCCTGAAATTCAGGGTGATCATCACCCATCATTGAGCCTTCTACTTGAGCCTATGTTAGACTCACCACGAATCATTCCAACCACCCATTGCCCATGATTGAGCCTATCAGCCAAGGGAAGTCTGGCAGCTGACGATTGGAACTTTCCCACAGAAACCAAAAACGGAGCGCCTTGTGCCGGGCCAGGCGTCCGACTTCCGGGCGCATCGCCTGCGGCGAAATCCATCGATTTCAGCCGTCCCGGGCTCTGATGGAACTGTTGCCGTGTCTTAGAATGGAGGAACCCCCCAAAAAATGGCGGGCTTCTTCCTTTCGTTTTCAAACCGACCCTAAAAAGGGGACCCCACCCCCAAAAAAAAGGCCAATCTAAGTCCCTCTGCGGCACCTCGCAGAGGCGCTGCTTCTGAATGTCGCTGCCGTGCTCCAGCGTGTGCTGCACCACATAGTTGCCTCAATTCTGCAGCGGTTTCGGCAGTGGTGCTGAACCTACTGGCTTCATTTTAGTAAAGACTTTGAGGGACCCTGACCTGGAATTTGGGGCTTTCCTCAAATTGGAGTCGGTCCCCTAAAATGGTCGGCGGCCTTTTGGTTCGCCCTGAAGAAGAACCAAAAGGGGTCCACCATCCTTCATGATTCTGGAAAATCAGGTATTTCTGTGATACCAAAGTCACAGCTACTAACAGAGAAGGGTATTTTCTGGGACCCGCTCTTTTTGAGAAAACCCAGCCCCCATCCTCTTTCTCCAAGATGCCATACGGATGCCGACACAGCCTCAGCGCACAGCTCTTGCAAGAGGGAATGCTTCTCAAAATAGGAGTCGTCCTCACCCCCACCCCCACCCCCACCCCCAAAAAATGGCTCCCTGTTGCTTTCCCTAAAACAAAACCTGCCAAAAGGCTTTGGTCTCCCACCATTCTCATGGTTTCTTTTCTTTCCGGCGAATAAGGTAACAGCAACCCCCTGTTTGGCATATAGTGGAACCCACGCCTTGGGCGTCTTGGAAACCCTCAAGCCTCAACCGCCCCATGCCCAACGAGCGTAAACCCGAGGTGCTCGAGGACATCCGAGAGGACCTGAGCGGCGGAAGCTCGCGGGACATGGGAACCGGGAAATCTTGGGCGGTCCTACCAAAAAAACACTGGGCTGTCCGCTTTCTGATCCCCTACTAAAAGTGACTACAAGCTACGGGGATGACTGGGAGCCACCAAGAAACCTGGAACCTGCAAGGGACCCCCGCATCATTTTGCTCTGAAAGACCCTCTTTCAACTTCCATGATTTCCAACTTGTAGGGCTGTCCTATGGGAAGAAAAGTAAGCCGCAAAGTGGGGGAACTGCCCCTAGGTCCAAGACCACCACGACCAGTCTCAACACTAATTGCAAAGTTGACAACTCCTCCATTGAAAGGGTGTATCAGTGTAGCAACTCCGTGGTATCACACTGAGATACGACCTCAAACCCACCCTAGGCAACGTTTGCCAAAACGAGGGCCAAAAATCGATGGGGAAGGGCCGCACCTCTTGTGGTCCAGACCCAAACGTGTGAACATGTTGTTCCCATCATGTCGACCTCATTCTGCAGAAGCCGAGCAGGGGTCTATGGCTATGACGCATACCCGAGTACCAGATTGAAGACTTGAAAGGATTGTGCATTCCCATGAGGAAATGTTCATGGAACCACGAAGGCCGCCCATGCAAAACAGATCGGGTCAAGTGAACTCCACAGGCGCACCCTCAAGGAAATGAACAACCACACACACACACACACACAAACAAACAGTCGCAAACGCACACAAACAAACAAACAAACAAACAAACAAACAAACAAGCAAGCAAGCAAGCAAACAAGCAAACAAGCAAACAAGCAAACAAGCAACCAAAGGCACAAAAAACAAACGAGAGGTCCTTCCACGTAGGCTCGATGCACAACTATTTTTTCGGATTAACAACACCCATGTTGCATCCCCCTTCTGATTGGGCATCTAGCGTCCAACCGCCTCTTGAAAACAGAAAACACACTGAGGAAAAAGACTAAGTTCCACCATCCTCTACTCCCCCGCAAATCAACATTGAACCCAAAACAGGGGTACCCCAAATGGAAATCTCTCAAAAAGTAACGGGTCTCTTTTAGGCTCCATGTTAATTTGCGGGGAGTGACTCGTCCTGCCTGGACAATTCAGGACTGGTGTTTCGCCCATCGCGCCCACTGGGGCTTAAAGATTTCGGCGCGCCTCCTTGGCCAATGGCTCCGTCTGCTCCCGTGGGCAGTGCTCCAGCAAACGCTCCAGCACCTTTCTGAGTGGCGCGCTAGTTGGTGGCATCACTCGTTTCATGTGGTTTCCCTTTGGTTGGCATGCTCGAAAATGGGTGCGGTGTCCATTTGACATGGGTTCACTCTAAAATGAGTGGTTGCGTGCTTTCCCTTCGGTTTACGTGGGTCTCTCTCTCTCTCTCTCGCTCCATCCCTCTCTCTCCTTCGCTTGCTGTCGAAAATAGTTGAGTTTGATGTGGTTTCCCCTTGGTTGACATGAGTTTCCCTGTCGCTGCATGTGGCTTCCCTTTGATTGACATGGGTCTCTCCTTCTCCCCTGGACTAAAATGTCTTTTGGTCTTGACACACGCACAGAGTGGAATTGGGCCGCGCAACGGGAAATGGCGGGAGCCCTCGCAAAACAACCACACATACACACAACACTAGAGGGGTCCCTACATGTCCCTTTCCGCCACTTTTTGATGAGTCTCTTGGGGTGAATGTTTAGGGAAATCTAGAGTTCCCTACACCAAAGCCAACGGATCAGCCGTTTCCGGAAGGGCTCGCGACTCACGAAACGAGGCCCCACTCAGTCCCCGCGAACAACCTGAGTCTTTCGACCGAAAATCACCTATTGACCTGGAAGATGAACTTGTCCCCACACACTTAAACAACCTATATCTTGCACGGAGCGGGTTGTCAACGCCGAATCACACATACATCGCCAACCACTCAAAGTGATGCTTTGCCGCCCCCCCAAAAGCTCCCTCCCCCCCCCCCCCAAATCCTCAGGTTCAAATTAGCTTAATCGGGGTCCAGCCCCAAAACAGCTGTCAGAAGATATTGAATTTGCAATTCCTTAATCCTAGCATGTTACGAAGTATAGGCCCAAACAGTTTCCATCCGCTCATCAACTCGTGCAAATCATTTTGAGAAGCTACCACGCCTTTTGACCATCCCACAACACATTCTAGCATTGGTTTCTGAAAACAAAACACTGGGGATTTTTATGAAAGGCAACACATCTTGATGTGGCAAGCTGCGCGGCAGCCGAAGGGATGGCGCGCAGCATCCCCCACCCGGCCTCTCCAAAGCAAGCGCGGCCAAAGTTTCAGGGGACCCTTTGAACCTTGGCTTCAAGGGAAACCAAAGGGCACACCACCACTTTGGGGGTCCCCCTAGTTTGATACATACCCGTATGTGTGAAAATAGGAACTTGGACCAGGCCAACCATATTGAATCCGTATGTCTCGGCTGACCTTTACCCAACCAGACATAGGCTTCAGGGAATTGGCATTCATTCAAATTGAGCATATGTGTGTGTGTGTGTGTCTTCGTTTAGAGGATCTCCAAAATGGTGGTTCTCCTTTTGATGTCCTTTAAAACCACAAAAGGGTACCCTCCAAAAAAGACACGCCCATACAAACCCTCCTTGTGAAGCGAGCCAAGCATATTGGCAACGTTAGCTTTCTTTTGAGGCGCTCTTTTGGAAAGTTTCATACGGTCGGGTTCCTATACTATATTATAATATTCCCCCAACATGGAACATATCACCAAAAGGAAACTCGCCCGAAATCGCTACGTGGACGTTTAAACTAGCTCCTGGAAATCCGCGAGAATCTTGCCCCGGCCCAAAGACCGATTCGGATGAAACGTTCAGCTATCAGAAGCCACGCAAGAATTTATCTTGCTCTGATACGGGGTGACATTGCAATCCATGAAATCTTCGACATGTAGAGGATGTTGAGGAAAGTTTCGCTAAAAATGCCAGAGATGCTGAGGAGTTCTGAGGGTGCGGGGGATGATTAAGGTGTCAAGGATCCGGAGAATGCTGTGGCAATCTTGGGATGCTGAGGATGTTCAAGATATGGGAGATGCTGGTGATGCAGGTGATACTGCTCATGCTGAGGATGTTGGACTCTCTGAGCAGATCCAATGGTTGTATTCTCCGTTCGGCAAAACCAACTGTTGACCCGCTCGGGGGGGGTCGTTTGGTTCCCGGAAATCAACACTCTGTTCTTTGTCTGAACTCCTTCTTGACAACAACAACATGGCAGTCGAACCAAGTGTTGGCTCGCTCGGGTTGGAACAACACGAAGAACAGGGTTGCGATTCGATAGAAACAAGATGGAGAGAAGATTATGAACGCGACCAAGCAACCTCTAATATTCACCCCTTTACCCCCAAAGTCAGAGGTGGCAAATAAGTCCCCAGATTCTCAGACTGACCTCCCAAGTTTCACTCCCAACTTTCGGTGCGGGCCTCTCATCTCTTGGATGATGAACTCGATTTTCTGCGGCGGCAAGTGGGAGATCGCCTCGCTCGCTAGCTTTCGGTTTGAAACATACCAAGCAAGCCAATGCATGCGCAACAGGCGCAAACTTAACTGGAAAATGATGAGCATTCATAAGTACCGTAAATAATCAAATACCGGCAAGTTCTCTTGAAAGGCGGGTTGCAGCTTGTGGGCACGGTGTTTTCAGGGAATCGACAATTTGGAAGGTTCCCACTTGGTTTGAGAAGAATGGATGAACTCCTTCAGTGTCCCTTCAAAGGTCACCACCCCATTTAACACCCATTTCGGCCCGGGTGCCTGGTTTTGACACAAACCCATATCAAGAACCACGAATGCTGTTGTCTCTGTACGTAGTCGCACTGAAAGCCTTTCGGTTACAAAATAATTCCCAGGATCTGTGTGGGAAAACTTTGAGCGTACCCCGACGTCCCAAAAAATGGACTGTATTCGACATCCTGAACTGAACCTCAAGCGGGTTTTCCCACTACAAAGGCGACCAAATACTTTCGAAATCCAAGGATCTGCATTGTTGTACAGTATGTCCAACACCTGAAATAAGGGATCCACAACCTACATCATTGCAAGTTCTTGTTCACCCCGAGTCGGTGAGCTCGCCATAAAATAGGCAGACGGAAGGCTGCCGCTCACTGACCCGCCTTCTGGAGCACGTGGTTGGCGTGTGGAGACTTCAGAGCTGTCCTGAAAAACAGCTCCAAGGTTGGGCGGTCGGCCCCTGGAAACGTGCACGGCCAACCCCTTGTTTAAACACGGTCAACCACTATGGTTTTTGGGGGGACCCTTGTTCTGATGTCTTGACCCATGCTACCTGTTGGTTTATATACGGGTACAACTAAAGAACGGGGTTGGGCGATCCAACCCATGCTCAAACCACAATGATTTAAAGCACCTGCTTTGAGTCTCCATTTCTCAAGACGGGCCAAGGTCAAATGCAACGCCTATGCCTGACTAAGAACTGCTGCACAACTCCAAGACCGTTGTCCCAGCGTCCTTTCCTTCCTTTGACTCCCCCAAACACCGCCACAGCCACACAAACCCACCCTCCACTCTATCTCACCCCGTCCTGCCCTGTGTCACACACTGATTGGAGCCCTAAGGCCCACTGCCCCAGGATTTCTCCATGCAGATTTCCAGGCCGCCAGACCCCCGCAACTGCGTCCCCCCCCCCTTCTTCCTTCCCAAGGCCCCCACCACACGCGGCCCTTCAGGGCCGCCACCATGTTCAGCTTCTCCGGCAGGTCTGCCACCTCCAAAGCCGCCTGCCGGCAGGCGCCGGCCGAAGATCCGGGCTGAACAGTTTTCACCAGTGGCTGCCCTTTCTTGGCATTTCATGTTGAAGGCAAACTCTTTGAAGGAAGCAAAAGGCCATGGTTCAGAGGAGGCCGGAGTTTTACGGACACCAGCTAGCAGGCGAAACTGAGGGCTCTCGCAAATCGGCCCGTCTTGGCATCTTCAAAATGCTTGGCCTCCTTTTGGTTTCCCCAATGGGGAAACATGATTGGCTCAATGCGTGTCTCACTTGGGTTGTCTCTACCTCAGGTTGTTTGCCCTCGGGAAACCAAAATGGGGTGTTTTGACAATACAGGGCTCCCCATGTTTTCAATGTAAACATCGCCCCACCAAGAAGGAAGCTCACTCCACATTGGCCCAAAAAGATGTTTCATGAAAACCACCCCCAGAAGAAATGTAGGGAACCTTCTCGTGACACAACTTCCGCCTGCACCACCCGTGTTCCCTGCTTGGTAATGGCCATGCTCCACCTCAGCGTCCGGAAGCGATTGGACGTCGGATAGAAGACGGCAGGGAAAATGGGTCGTCGTTGAAGGGTCCCTTCAGTTTTCCACCCACCCGGGCAAGGGTTAAAGTCTTCATGGGGCTGCGGTCCAAAAGGCAAAAGGTAAAATCGGAAAGGAGACGACCCAAAAACCCATATGTCCTGCCCGTGGCATTCTTGTGTGTGTGTGTGTGTGCGTGTGTGGGTGTCAGTATGCTCATCTTGATTGTGCTCAGTAGGGAGTAGGAGAATGATTCCTTTCGTAAATGGTTTATGTGGAATGGGTGGTGGGGTTAATCATTCCCATAGTCCCTACTGAGAAAAGGCAAGCTACGTGGCATGAATTAAAAAACCATGGCATTCATTCCTTATTCCAGCCGCAGACTATACAAATTTATCTGCTGTTTTCCTGGGCCGAATGCCGAAAACTGGCTCCCAAACCAAACCCCACCCGCAGTGGCCATCGCCCTCTTGTTTTGGCAGCGGATCTTCAAGAGAATCCACTCCAAAAAGAAAGCAAGCAAGGAAGCAACCCACTGTTTGTCTGGGGTTCCTTCTGGTTCCTTCCTTGTGAGGGGGATTTTTGAGCAACGGAGCCCCTTGTGAGGGGGATTTTTGAGCAACGGAGCCATGTGGTCTGGCCTGCAGAAAGAGCCCCCCCCCCCCCGCCCCCCGCCCGTTGTGGGCATGGTGACTCTGCCACCAACCAAGCCCCAATGCGTCCATGTTTGGATTCTTGAAACAACATCCCTGTGGATACCCACTGAACGAAACGGGGGCTCTGGTTGCTTGTTGCGGGCCCCGAAACTCTTTCTTGGGGCTGGCCCCTCTCCAAAGCAACCAAACAAGGCTCGGTTGGGCTAGGTTTGTTTAAACAACCAGTTGCCCTTGCCCCCCCTCCTACAACTGTACAGGAAGCCAACAGCTTGTTTTGCTCAAAGGTGCTGCGTCTTTGACCTGAGCCCGGGCAGTCGCCCATCTTCCCAGAGCTAACCTCCCACAAACTCCCCCTTGGCTCGTTGCTTGGAATCAAATGACGGAACATGTTCATAGCAAGGGTGGAAAAATGCCGAGGGATGGGGGGGAGCCTGCCCCAAAACGCTTGGCATGGCCCCGGTAAACCTTCGAACCTCCGCGCCAGGTTAGGGGCGGTTGGGGCCCGCACGCATCCGCAGCGACCCGCTCCACGAGCCTGGTACACTCGAAAACCCCTCCCCCCCTTTGGCTGAAGTCTCCGGCATTCAAATGGAGAGCCAAAAAAGAAACAAAAGGAAACCAACACTTCAAGGGAACCTGTTCTCCCAAAACCCAAACAAAGCCCACCATCTTGAAGCCCCTTTTTTCGCGACAGGGCCCCTGTTTTTTTGGTGTTTTTCTTTTTTTTTCGGTAAACCCTCGCGTCCGAACCTTGCAGCTTTCAGCCCGCGAAACCGCCTCCTCCTTTGCGCCACGTCCAAGTTGGGGGCCTGCAACTGCCGCACGATGGCCTCGGACTCCTTGTTGGTCCACCTGAACTAAACAACTGCCACCCTGCAGCTGATCTATAGCTAATACCCTGTTTATACAGCCTTCGCCTCAAATCCCTATGGCATGGCACCAGGTAGTAGAACCGCCTACGAAAGTGGCCAATTGCGGGTTTGTCTCTGCATAGGAAAACCTCCCAAATGAGGCCCAGTGTCCCTTCGACTTCCCTTTAAAACATCCCCAAAGCGATTCCTAAAGAAAGACGCACCCAAAAGCACAAAGTGCCAGCCAGTTGCCGATCAAAAGGCGTTGCAACCACACAAAAGGAAACCAACGGGAAAAAATGCATGTCTCCCTGGAAAGCCCTCCGAGCAGAGTGCCAAAAAAAAACGTGGAGGGTATCTGTTCAGGGTGAAACCCGAACAGAAATCCGAACGCCAACAGCTCCGTGGAAACCCAATGGTTTCATCTCAAAAAAGAGCAACTTGTTGGGGCACCGCCCTCCCCTCTGTGGGAAAAAAAAAAAAAACGGCTCACGCATCATCCATGCGCGCCTGGAGATGCGCTCTCGGCCGGGGGTGCGGGTGGACACCGTGGAGCCAAACTCCGTGGAGATCTCGGAGGTCGAGGACCTCGGATCTCGATCAAGGCTCCACTGGGGTGTGTCCAGTTTAGGGGAACTATTTGGTTGCTCTCTTTAAGGCAAGGCAAAAAAAAAGAAACCATGCAGCCATCTGAGGGTTGATGTTTAAGACTAACTTGCCCAAGGAAGCCTTTCTAGGGATGGCTCAATTGACGCGAGCCTTGTGGCTTATTAAGTCTACCTGGTGAGCACAAAACATGGAGCCTTGACCACTGCAATTCGAAGGGTCATCCACGGGGCGCAATACTACTCATTACCGGGTTGCAAGTTTGAGGCTTTTGCGGTTGGATTCCTTGAAAAAAAGGAAGAACAACCGTCCAAAGTTCTGCCTTGGCCCGGATCCACGAAACTGAGATCCGCAAAAGCTTCTCCAAACAGCGGTTTTCAACTGGAACCACCAGTGGTTACTTTCGCCGAAGACTTGGCTAAGGTTCACTTGCTTGGGGACCCTTGGCCCCCAGGGTTTGGTGGGGAAAACGTGTCCAACCACTTGTGCCTCGTTGCCTATGCAACTCCAGGGAAGAAACAAATGGCCATGGGTCAAAACCCCGGTTAGCCCCCAGTGAATCTCAATCCAACCACGAAAATAGGTCCTACAATGGGTGGTGAATTCACCTACCCACCAAAATGGTAATTACCATTGCCTACCCCAAAATGGGATCCCAATGGTCTTGACCCACGGCCAAATCGCTCGCTTGATTTCTCGGCCGCCGGCACGGACGGCGCCCGGGGCTGGACGCGGCCGAAGCTCCGCCGCTCGAAGTCCTGGTGTCGAAGCCGCGAGTTGGTTCGGGACAGGCCCCAAGTAATTGACTCGGGGGGCGGGGGGCCTTTGTGAGCTGCTAGCTGTCGTGTGTTTTTTTGTTCGTGTTGTTTTGTTTTTGTGTGTGTGTGTGTGTGTGCGTGGTTGTTTGGTTTTTTGCTTTTTCTTCCTCCCCGGAGAAAGGGCAAGACAAGTGGCTTGCCCCAAGCAACTGCTGGTTGAAGCCCTTGCTTTCAAGTGAATTCAATGGAGTGGGACCCTGAGTTGGCGTGCATGGCCATCTTTCTTTTCAAAACTAGGGCCCCTTTTCGTGGCACATGTAAGGACACCAACGTATAGCCATTGACTCAAGGTCACGGTTGCCCAGTGGCACTGCTAAAGTAAAAGGGGCCCAATTGGCGGGTTGATCATGCTCAGTGTCTGAGTAGGCCGTGCCACCGAACTGGGAAGCTTCCTTTTGAGTCCCAGGCCAAAAACGTCCGAGGCTTGAGATCTTCGGTATGTGGCCCATGCTTCACGCGGGCCTGTCTACACCATACCCACCGTTTCAAAAGCTCAACGCGGCCCAGGTTCCAGTTGATCTCACTTTGAAGCAAAAACGGTTCTTTGTGGGAAAATGTGTGCGTCTTCCCATGTGCCCAGCCCAAATCAACCATAATTGCAAGCTCATAGCCATGGTCAGAACTCCGGGGACGGTGGTCAACCTTTACGATTCTCCAAATTCCTTGGATCCATGACCCACCAGCCCAAGCAGGGTGCTTTGACCACGCACATTTGGCTTTGACTTGCAATTCAATACAAACCCACCTCCACAGAGGTGCCCCACCTTTGTAAATGGGGGTTGATCAAAAGGTCCTCTACATGGGATGACCATTAAGGCAAACCGCTAAGAAGATGATATTTCGCACTGAAGGGGAAAAGTGACCCATGGTCATTTGCGCGCCAGGAAAACTGATACACCCCCATGTGTGTGTGTGTATATATATATATATGTATACAGGTATACACATACATAAGGTTTCCTATAGATGAATGCGTTTTTGGTGAATGATCAAAATCAACCAAATCATGTCCATCATGTCCCCCAATTCATGTCCATCAAAGGGTCCCATCAAAATGGAGCCCTGTCTGCATCCCTTGCAGCCAGCGTGCTTGAGGGAGCGCGTGCTCACCTCAGAAGGACAAAACGCTTCGTCGGCGGCTGTGTCTTTAGGTCTTCTAACTATTCATTTATTTATTTTTGTATGTATTGATATATATATATATATGTGTGTGTGTGTATATAAATATATAAATGTATATATCTGTATATATGTGAATGCTATTTATATATATAATATGTATACATGTTAAGGGGTTACACGATTAGAATAGGGCTTTGGGGTGATGACCATGGGCAAACAATATGAAGAAGCATTTCGCCCCCTCATGCTAGAGCGGCTGGGATTTGTTGCAACCCTTCAACCTTCATCAAGGGTCACTATCCCATCCAGAACGTAATGGTGAAGTTGGCAAGTCAGATTTGGACTCTTTGCAACCCCCGCAAAGAGTCAATAAATGGGCCCCATAACTAAGCTTTCCCAGATCCCCTACTAAAAGTTTAGCTTTTAGAGGTTTAGTGGCAACTACCACTACACGCTGTGACTGGTTGGTTACAGCCCCGGTTTTCGGAAGAAAAGAACAACCGGCTTCTGGAAAGTATGAAGCGAGGAGGTAGAAAGGGTATCACCAGGGTGGTTGGTTCACTTTCCAGGGAAGGAATCGTAGCAACAGGGGCGTTGGCTTTGCCGCCCAAGGAAACAAAGGCCAACCTGCCAACCAGCCAACCAGCCAACCTGCCAACCAGCCAACCAGCCAACCAGCCAACCTGCCAACCAGCCAACCAGCCAACCAGCCAACTGCCCAGCCAACCAGCCAACCAGCCAACCAGCCAACCAGCCAACCAGCCAACCTGCCAACCAGCCAACCAGCCAACCTGCCAACCTGCCAACCTGCCAACAGCCAGCCAACCAGCCAACCAGCCAACCAGCCAACCTGCCAACCAGCCAACCAGCCAACCAGCCAACCTGCCTATCTAACCTGCCAACCTGCCAACCACCAACCAACCTGCCAACCAGCCAACCTGCCAAGCTGCCAACCTGCCAACCAGCCAACCTGCCAACCAGCCGACCAGCCAACCTGCCAACCTGCCAAACCAGCCAACCAGCCAACCTGCCAAGCCAACCTGCCAACCTGCCAACCTGCCAACCTGCCAACCTGCCAACCTGCCAACCTGCCAACCTGCCAACCTGCCAACCAGCCAACCCCAACCAGCCAACCAGCCCTGGGATCTACAGAAGTAGGCTATGATGCCTCCATTTGCAGTAGTGTCCCTGGAAAAATGGACATATGTACAGCGATTGAACCATTCTCCCTGAACTCCCTGCTTTCCTTACTAGGCGAGCAGGACTGGGAGACCCATTTTCAGGCATCTTCACGCAAGCGCTTGCGTTGTCTTTGAATGGACTGCTCAGCAAAGGTCAGCATGGCCTCTCTCCGGCGGACACTTTCTTTTTCTAAGTGGGTCTCAGCTATCGCCGCCATCTGCTCGAGCGACCCCTCCTCGGCGCTGCTCATGGCAGGAGATGTCACCTTCTCCTCATGACTTGGGTAGGCCTGCGCCGTAGGCCCCACAGCGTAGTGCTGTAGTTCAGGATGCTGCTCCGCAAAAACAATCCAGCAGGGGTGTCGGGAGGCCTTCCAATGTCAACAATGCCAGGCGCTCCTCGCGCTTCTTTGGACTTTGATGGGTCAGGGCCCGAACAAGGTGGGTGATATGTAGACTCAGCGTCATATTGTAGGCCCTATATATGGTCGGCTTTTCAAACCAGTTGTCTTCCTTGGCGTATTGCCAAAAGTTAAAGCGTGAGCAACATAAGGAAAAGACCTCCTTCTTCAGCAGGTTCTGGGAGTTCTTGGATTCGAAGCCTTGCGCAAGCAAGTGCAATGCTTGCTTGAAACCCTTGCACCAGCTGTAGGCCTGCTGTGACGGCAACCTCAAGGAAATGCCTGTTTTGCGCAGTTGTGGCTTGCCTCCTGATTCGCAGCTGACCACCGATCGCCCGAGTGACGCCCCAGTCCTGCGAGAGTTCCAAGTTTCCTAAATATGTCCAAATGTACTTACTCCTGCCAGGGCATCGTTGCACAGGCAGCAAACCTCTCTAAAATTAGGTGAGACATGTCCAAAAACGCCTACTCTTCCCAGGGCATCCTTGCACAGGCACAGAACCCTAAACCTCAAATTCTAATTGTAACACCCGAAACCCCCAAACCCTACAAGCAAGTTTCCTTAATATGTCCAAATGTACCTACTCCTGCCAGGGCATCGTTGCACAGGCAGCAAACCTCCTTAACATTAGGTGAAACATGTCCAAAAACGCCTACTCTTGCCAGGGCATCGTTGCACAGGCAGGGAACTCTAAGCCCCAAATTTTAGTTGTAATACCCGAAACCCCCAAACCCTACAGGCAAGTTTCCTAAATATGTCCAAATGCACCTACTCCTGCCAGGGCATCGTTGCACAGGCAGCAAACCTCCCTAACATTCGGTCAAACATGTCCAAAAACGCCTACTCTTGCCAGGGCATCGTTGCACAGGCAGAGAACTCTCAACCCCAAATTTTCATTGTAATTCCCCAAACCCCCAAACCCTACAGGCAAGTTACCTAAATATGTCCAAATGCACCTACTCCTGCCAGGGCATCGTTGCACAGGCAGCAAACCTCCCCAACATTAGGTGAAACATGTCCAAAAACGCCTACTCATGCCAGGGCATCGTTGCACAGGCAGAAAACCCTAAACCCCAAATTCTGATTGTAATACCCGAAACCCCCAAAAACTACAGGTCAGGTCCTTCTGTTTGAGACGATCTTCCCCCTCGGGCAAGCAATGTGAATAGCCGCACCTGCAAAGAGCTCAAAAGGGGTGAAGCCCCACTCGTAACAAAAGCCTCGGTTTGTGGTGACCCAGACGCCGGTCACGCCGTGACTTCGCTTGGAAGACCGCAGACCCTGCAGAAGTATCACAGGTACGAGGCTAGAACGCGTGCCATAGAATCCTTCGAACTTGTTGGCTTTGTCGACCGGACTTCCGTCCTGGTATGCGCCTGCCTGAGTGGCAGGCACATACAGCACAAGCTCCCTAATTGCATTCTCTGCATAGTCAAAAACCGCCCGCTGGAATTCCAGGGTAGCCATCGGCGGGGTTTCTCGTTGGCCTCCAAATGCACGCTGGGTGTTATTTTTGAGTTCCTGTAGCAACTGCAATGCAAAACCCCGCAGTTCTTCCGTCCACTCTCCAACTACACTCCGCTCTGGAAGTGCGGGTGCAACAGCCCCAGGGTCCCTGTTCCATTGCGCGGAGCCATAGCCAGGCCTCTGCCCTCCAGCAGCCACAGACGCAGACTGCGCAAGTGATCTGGCCACATTCTCCCAACTCTCATTGGCTTCTGAAGAGTACTCCTTTTGCAGCGCCTCCAGAGAGTCGAACCCAAGCATGCTCAGGTATTTTTCCATCTGGCCAAGTCCACAGCTGCAGGGTCTTCAAAAAAATGCCATAAACTCCAACTAAAAACCCGGGTCAAGCTACGGAAGTTTAGGTTCAGGCTCAAAGCCTTAGGTGAGAATTCTGGAAATAAATTATCGCATGTTCCGGATCTGCCAACCTGCCAACCTGCCAACCAGCCAACCAGCCAACCAGCCAACCTGCCAACCTGCCAACCTGCCAACCTGAACCAGCCAACCAGCCACTCTGCCAACCTGCCAACCTGCCAACCAGCCAACCTGCCAACCTGCCAACCAGCCAACCTGCCAACCTGCCAACCAGCCAACCAGCCAACCCGCCAACCCGCCAACCTGCCAACCACTCTGCCAACCTGCCAACCTGCCAACCAGCCAACCTGCCAACCAGCCAACCTGCCAACCTGCCAACCAGCCAACCAGCCAACCAGCCAACCTGCCAACCTGCCAACCTGCCAACCTGCCAACCTGCCAACCTGCCAACCTGCCAACCTGCCAACCTGCCAACCTGCAAACCTGCAAACCTGCCAAGCCAACCTGCCAAGCCAACCTGCCAACCAGCCAACCTGCCAACCAGCTAATTTGTTAACCAGCCAACCTGCCAACCTGCCAACCTGCCAACCAGCCAACCAGCCAACCTGCCAAACAGCCAACCTGCCAACCAGCCAACCTGCCAACCTGCCAACCAGCCAAACAGCCAACCTGCCAACCTGCCAACCTGCCAACCTGCCAACCAGCCAACCCGCCAACCTGCCAACCTGCCAACCTGCCAACCTGCCAACCAACCAACCAACCAACCAACCAACCAACCAACCAACCAACCAACCAACCAACCAACCAACCAACTAACCAACTAACCAACCAACCAACCAACCAACCAACCAACCAACCAACCAACCAACCAACCAACCAACCAACTAACCAACCAACCAACCAACCATCCAACCAAGCCGCTAACCAACCAAGCATCCAACCAACCGGTACACAAAAACTTGCAGAAAGCAGATGCGGCCAGGCTGCTCTGCTCCGTTTCAGGCCTTGGCTTAGCACTTCCTCTTTTGTGTGGTTTGTCTTCTCTCTTTCTCCCCACATGGCGTGTTTTTTGTCTGGGCTCCCAGACACCTCAGAACCATTGAACAGTGGCAGCGCTCAGTTGGAATGCCACAGCCTGACTCCCCACTACCTGAGCTAAAAAGAAGCTGAAGCTTCGCCAAGCCACACCACCGGAACCGCCACCAGCACCATGTTGTGCATCGGCATGTACGACTGCATCGGCTGCATCCTTACATGAGTCTGTCAAGCTTTAAGGACAGTTGTTTTGAAGGGAAGCCCAAAGAAGCCCCTTCCACAGCTTCTCCCCAACTGCGAGCCGGTACGCACAAATCCCACGCGCAAGGTCTCCCAATTCAGAGGAGCGGTGGCGTTCCTTACATCACGAGGTTGGCATCCTTTAAGAGTAGTTCTCTGTGTGTGTGCGTGTTTTTAAGGGACTCACAAACTGGTGGTTGTCCTTTTGGTTTCCCTTGAAACTACCCCAAAAAGGGTACCCTCAAAAATTAGGGCTCCTGGAACTGACACTGCGAAACAAGGCGGGAAACTGTGACAAGGGACCCCCGTCTTGGGTCGTTTCTTGGACTCCCAAGGTCACAAAACTCGCAAGGACCTTGGCCAAGACCGCCCGCAAGACTTTGCTAGATGCAGTCCTTTTTGATTTTCCTTGTGACTTGCTAGACTGAATGGCTTCTTGTTTGGGTTCCTGAAGTCAGTGGTTCCCTCGCGGTTTCTTGAAGTGAATGGATTTCTTTTGGTTTGCCTCATGTGGAAACTAACCCGCTCTATGCTACTTGCATGGGTCGTTCCCATGACTACGTTGTCATATTTTGAAGGAGGGTTCCCTTCGCCACTCACAGCAGGTGGCACCCTAGCAACAGTTGTTTCAGAATCATGAGTCTCACGGGGGTCAAACAACAACATATACACAGCGACCCGAAGGCAGAAAAGGGGCGAAACCGTCCAAGAAAGGTGCAAGCTCGCAAACCTCAGGCCGCTGCTGGTTGCCCAAGGGCATCTGCATCTGGAAGCCCGGGTTCATGGGCCTCATGTGGGTCATTTTCTTGAGGCTACCCGTGGGATTGGTTTAATGGGGGAGAGGTCCTTCATTTTGATGCAAAGCCATATGGACCCTGTGACTCAGTCCGCTCTAGGCCCAAACCTGCTGAATACTGGGCTGTCCTCAGATCCCCTGCTTAAAAGTTTAATTTGTGGGTTAAGTGGAAACTACCACTAAACCCCAAAAAGCTAAAAAGCTAAGGGGATGGCTGGGAACCAGCAAGAATATATTGAAGCCAGTTTAGCGCTCGTGTCATGCACGAAGCTCATGCATAGCCCCTACTACCAGACAGCTACTGGAGTACGAAATGCATCACCCCACCGAAAGGGACTTATGGTGACTTGGCCCAAAAAGGTGATGCTTAACTCTGCTTGAAAGGGGGACCTTTCTTCTCTGACGCCAATTGTCCCAAACTCGGGGACCTCCTTCTAACGCGTGCTTCCCTAAGAGTCCTGGCGGAATTTGCGGCCTCAAATCGGGGAAACCTGTGCAAAATCAGCTTTGGCGGGGGATCTAAGCTCAAGACTGCATCTGCTGCATCTGCCGCATCGGCTGCTGCATCGGCTGCATCGGCTGCCGCATGGACTGCTGCTGCATCGACGACTGCTGCTGCTGCATGGGTTGCCAATACATCATCTGCTGGTTGAACTGCTGATCGTACCTGGCGGCTCACCCCCAACCAGTTGAAAGCTTGACGGTGGAGTCAACCACGCGAGGCACTGGAACATCGGACATTTATTTGGAGGCCCAAGCATCCCGATCCAAGCATCCAGGAGCTGGAGTCCTGGAGGCTATGGTCATGGCTCCCTTGCGGCTCAGGATTGTCTTAAATTCCAACTAAGCTTGTGACCCCTACAAATCGATCTTCCCACGGAAATGGGCTCGGTTCTAACATCCGCCCGCGGTCTTGGCTGCTGTCCTAGAAAAAACGAGGGAGTTTTGGCAGAGGTTTCCTTGTGGGAAAATAGATTGCCCTGGTAAATGGAACGAAACCAATCTCAACCAGTGGTCCCCATCTATTTCGAACCAAGCTAACCTTGAAATCTCAACCAGTGGTCCCCATCTATTTCGAACCAGACTAACCTTGAAATCTCAACCAGTGGTCCCCATCTATTTCGAACCAAGCTAACCTTGAAATCTCAACCAGTGGTCCCCATCTATTTCGAACCAAGCTAACCTTGAAATCTCAACCAGTGGTCCCCATCTATTTCGAACCAGACTAACCTTGAAATCTCAACCAGTGGTCCCCATCTATTTCGAACCAGACTAACCTTGAAATCTCAACCAGTGGTCCCCATCTATTTCGAACCGAGCTAACCTTGAAATCTCAACCAGTGGTCCCCATCTATTTCGAACCAGACTAACCTTGAAATCTCAACCAGTGGTCCCCATCTATTTTCAACCAGCTAACCTTGAAATCAACCAGTGGTCCCCATCTTCGAACCAAGCACTAACCTTGAAATCTCAACCAGTGGTCCCCATCTATTTCGAACCAGCTAACCTTGAAATCTCAACCATGTCCCCATCTATTTTGAAACCAGACTACCTAAAAAATCTCAACCAGTGGTCCCCATCTATTTCTGAACCAAGCTGCTTGAAATCTCAAACCAGTGGTCCCCATCTATTTCGAACCAGACTAACCTTGAAATCTCAACCAGTGGTCCCCATCTATTTCGAACCAGACTAACCTTGAAATCTCAACCAGTGGTCCCCATCTATTTCGAACCAAGTTAACCTTGAAATCTCAACCAGTGGTCCCCATCTATTTCGAACCAGACTAACCTTGAAATCTCAACCAGTGGTCCCCATTCATTTCGAACCAAGCTAACTTGAAATTCAACCAGTGGTCCCCATCTATTTCGAACCAAGCTAACCTTGAATCTCAACCAGTGGTACCCCATCTATTTCTGAACCAAACAACCTTGAAATCTCAACCAGTGGTCCCCATCTATTTCGAACCCAGACTAACTTGAAATCTCAACCAGTGGTCCCCATCTATTTCGAACCAAGCTGTTTGAAATCTCAACCAGTGTGTCCCCATCTATTTCGAACCAAGCTAACTTTGAAACTCAACCAGTGGTCCTCATCTATTTCGAACCAGACTAAATCTCAACCAGTAGTCCCCATCTACTCTCTGAACCAAGCTCAACCTTGAAATCTCAACCAGTGGAAATCTCAACCAGTGGTCCCCATCTATTTCGAACCAGACTAACCTTGAAATCTCAACCAGTGGTCCCCATCTATTTCGAACCAGACTAACCTTGAAATCTCAACCAGTGGTCCCCATCTATTTCGAACCAGACAATCTTGAAATCTCAACCAGTAGCCCCATCTATTTTGGGAACCAGAGCTAACCTTGAAATCTCAACCATGGTCCCCATCTATTTGTTAACCTGAAATCTCCCCATCTATTTCGAACCAGACTAACCTTGAAATCTCAACCGTGGTCCCTCATCTATTTCGAACCAGACTACCTTGAAATCTCAACCAATGGTCCCCATCTATTTCGAACCAAGCTAACTCTTGAAATCTCAACCAGTGGTCCCCATCTATTTCGAACCAGACTAACCCTTGAAATCTCAACCAATGGTCCCCATCTATTTCGAACCAAGCTAACCTTGAAATCTCAACCAGTGGTCCCCATCTATTTCGAACCAGACTAACCTTGAAATCTCAACCAGTGGTCCCCATCTATTTCGAACCGAGCTAACCTTGAAATCTCAACCAGTGGTCCCCATCTATTTCGAACCAGACTAACCTTGAAATCTCAACCAGTGGTCCCCATCTATTTCGAACCAAGCTAAGTTTGAAATCTCAACCAGTGGTCCCCATCTATTTCGAACCAAGCTAACCTTGAAATCTCAACCAGTGGTCCCCATCTATTTCGAACCAGACTAACCTTGAAATCTCAACCAGTGGTCCCCATCTATTTCGAACCAAGCTAACCTTGAAATCTCAACCAGTGGTCCCCATCTATTTCGAACCAAGCTAACCTTGAAATCTCAACCAGTGGTCCCCATCTATTTCGAACCAGACTAACCTTGAAATCTCAACCAGTGGTCCCCATCTATTTCGAACCAAGCTAACCGAACTCAACCAGTGGTCCTCATCTATTTCGAACCAAGCTAACTTTGAAATCTCAACCAGTTGGTTCCCATCTACTTCGAACCAGACTAACCTTGAAATCTCAACCAGTGGTCCCCATCTATTTCGAACCAGATCACCTTTGAAATTCAACCAGTGGTCCCTATCTATTTTCGGAACTGAGCTAACTCTGAAATCTCAACCAGTGGTCCCCATCTATTTCGAACCAAGCTAAGTTTGAAATCTCAACCAGTGGTCCCCATCTATTTCGAACCAGACTAACCTTGAAATCTCAACCAGTGGTCCCCATCTATTTCGAACCAGACTAACCTTGAAATCTCAACCAATGGTCCCCATCTATTTCGAACCAAGCTAACCTTGAAATCTCAACCAGTGGTCCCCATCTATTTCGAACCAGACTAACCTTGAAATCTCAACCAGTGGTCCCCATCTATTTCGAACCGAGCTAACCTTGAAATCTCAACCAGTGGTCCCCATCTATTTCGAACCCAGCTAACCTTGAAATCTCAACCAGTGGAACCCATTTATTTCTAACCACCAAACTCTGCAAACAAAACAAAGGGGACACCCTCCGAGTCTGCTTTCCTTTTCGGGCCGAGGCGCATCTGGTAGGGAAGCGCCGGCGCTTCCGGCTGGGGGAAGCTCTGCATGCCCATGACCTGCTGCAGGAACTGCACTTGCTGCTGCCGTCCTCACTCGCTCTGGCGGCCGCCCGGCCACCAAGCGGCGGTAAAGAGAGTTCCATCCCCGGTTTTGAAAAAACACGAGTCATTTTTGTTTGTCCTTGTTGGAGGGTACCTTTTGGGGAGATTGCAAAGGGACACCAAAGAAAAACCCTTCCACTTTTGGTTGAATAGATGTTGAAGTGAGCACTGCAGAGGTCCTTTGGATTCCCTTTTGGCTTCCCTGTCTTTAAAAAGCAAAAAAATGGAAAAGATGCCTCCCCGAAAAAGATGCCTCCCCGAAAAAGAGGCCTCCTCACACGGCTTGTCTCCTCCCCCAGGCAGGCGCGCCCCCACCCAAAGGCAAAGGCGAGGCGCCGATCTGGTGCCTGGGCTCCTCGGACTCGTCCTCGCTGGCAGTCTGCCAGCCCGAGTTCGCCACCACTTCGGCTTCGGACCTGAGATCGTGGCCCTGGCCGAAGATTGGGCCTGGTTTGGCTGAGGGAAACCCGAAACGAGCCAAAAAAACTCAGCAACCCGAAAAGGTGAAATGGAAGGTCCAGGAACAGCAAAAACGGGACCCTGCCCTGATTGCTTTCCTTTTGGTTCCCTGCCATTTCGTCCATGCCTTCATCAGAAAGAGCATGTTCCATATCTCTATTTCACCCGCCTCGAATCTTCCCCCCAAGATTTGTGAGTTGCTTTTGGTGCAAGTTGCAGTCCCCACTGAGTATGAATGGGCAGAGCCAAAAATGGACAAAAGTATGGACAAAAGATACCAAGAACGTTGAAGTAAGCAGCTGTGCAGCACCTGGAACCTATTGACTGTTGCCTGTGCCTAGATGCTTAGAACGCGCCCCACACTAATACACCGGGCGGCTTACGCTCGCAAGAACCCCCACCCCCCACCCCCACCCCCCACCCCCCACCCCCCACCTCCCACCCCCCCCACCCCCCACCCCCCACCCCCACCCCCACCCCCACCCCACCCCCCACCCCCACCCCCACCCCCACCCCCCACCCCCACCCCCCACTCCCCCCACCCCCCACCCCCACCCCCACCCCCACCCCCCCACCCCCCCCACCCAAAAAGCAAAAGAAAAAAGATCAACCCCGAGTTCCCAAGCAGCCGCAAAACAAGCAGGGGTTGATGAATCCCAGGTTCCCAAGAAGCTTCAGCAGCATTTGGGGTAGCTCAATCGTTTGCCAGGCTACTCCACCTGCTGCTCCACATCCACCACTGTAGCTTGCCTAGCGAACAAGACGAGGGCCAGGCCTGTCTTGGGCCCATTCCGCTCCAAGGGGTGACTCTTGCCACCTCCAGGCACAAGCTTATTCCAATAGCTTCTCACGTCCTTGACAAAGGTTTCGGGCGCCTAGGAACTTTGGACCCAGAGAAACAGCCCGTGGAGTTGCTCAAAGGTCAAATGGTTTCCCAAATCTGGCAATGGGTCAAAAGCCCGTACGTGCACCTACCCCAAAATGGTACCATTGGTTTTGACCCACAACCATCTGATCCTGTGAGACACCCTTTGGCTCAACTAAAATCGTATCGCCCAGGTGCCGGGAGCCCCGCCGCGGTTGCCGCCGCCGCGGCTCCCGGTTGTTCTGGCGGATGTTGTGCCCCACAGCACCGGCTCCTGCGGGCGAGTGTCAAAGCGCGGGTGTCTTTGTCTGAGCCTCTCTGGGACGACGTCATTCAAGCGGCGACAGCGACCACGACCTTGGATTGCTTTCTGCATGGTTGGCAAGGGCCAAACAGCCCCGAGAAGAAGGACGGTCACGTCCAGAGGGGGTCTCCCTGGGCAATCGCCCATGCAAGGCTTTGGAGGGGACAGGTAGCAACTCAAGGCTCCGAGAGGGCAGAAGAGCATTCCGTTCAACAAGTCCCCGAAATATCAACCATGAGCCTAGCCATGTGAGGAGTTTTGGGGGCTGCAAAGGGGTAACATGCAAGGGGAAAAAAATGAGAGAAAGAAAAGGCACATGGCTAGTAAAGCAAAAAACTAGTTTTAGGGGTAAACTATACCCATCTGTACCCTGTAACAAGCTGCAATCCTGCGAGGGCCCCTGAAAATCGATCTGCGATCCCCTTGGGAGAGGTGCATCCGCGCCTGCGACGATGCAGGCCCACAAGCTGCTGGAGGCTTGCCCGGAGGCATGCATCGTAGGGGCCTGAGGCAAGGATTCGAGGTCTGGCCCGAGTCAATATTTTGCGAGGGGGCTTTCAACAGGAAAACCAAGTTTGGACATTTCTCTTGGTGCAGGTGCCATTGAGATGTCTCAACATCCGGGGGTTTGGGCAGGGACCCAAAAGGGGCCTCGGTTTTCCCAGCGGCCTTCCTTTAAACCAAAAGCGAGCCTCAGGAACAGGATTCTTGAACCCCGCTGCTGGCGAGGCATTTCCACAAAACAAATCGGGGGAGGTTGGCACGATGCCTGCAAATGAGCCTCACGCTTGTTGGTTTGAAAGGTGGCTGTACGGGTTGACTACAAGATGTGGTTGATTGTTGACTTTGTTGCTGTGTGATGTCACATGCCATGAAGCCTCTCACACGATACTGGCTTGTTTCATGATGATGGCATTGCTGCTGCTGCCACCCTTCCAGTTTAACGAAACCTTCGCTGCTACAACCCAAATCGACGGGTTCAAAGCATCTGCCGAATGATGGGCCTATCCTTCCGGATTGCTAGAGGCCACCTGTGTAATGCTCATCCCAAATAGACAAACCTTGCAGATCGATACAATGGCAAGATTCCTTCCCCAACAAAAGGCGGGATAGCTCGGGCAGGTCCAGGCGTTGCGAGCCCCCAAGAACCTGGAGCTTGGGTGAAATCGGGGCCCTTTTGGTCATGAAGCTGCCAGGATTCGGAAAACCGCCTCAGTCACAAGCAAAACCTGATACTAGGAATTTCCAAGGGAGGCCGCACCTATGTATGGTTAGATGTCCCTTTACCCACTAACCTTCGTCTATTCAGGTTTGATTGTGGCTCTCCTGATGTGCTTCTCAACTCTAGTTAGACACCTTTTAGAGTGCTTCACAGCGAAGACAAAGAATCCGCTCATTGTCCAATTTCATCAGTGGCTGAACCTGCAAAGAGGATGTTCCACGTACTCTCTTGTTTGCTGTGGGACATGTGTGTGTGTGTGTGGTTGTGTTGTGTGGTTGTGTGGTTGTGTGGTTGTGTGGTTGTGTGGTTGTGTGCTTGTGTGCCTGTGTGCTTGTGTGCTTGTGTGCTTGTGTGGTTGTGCGGTTGTGTGCTTGTGTGCTTCTGTGCTTCTGTGCTTGCGCGCGTGCGCGTTTGCGGTGTGTTTCTGCTTGTGTTTGTTGTGTGTCTGTGTGTCTGTGTGTCTGCGTGTCTGCGTGTTTGCGTGTTTGCATGTGTGTGTGGGTGTGTGTGTGTGTGTATAGTTGTGTGTTTGCGTGGTCGTGTGTTTGTGTGTGCTTGTGTGCTTGCGTGCTTGTGTGCTTGTTTGCTTGTGTGCTTGTGTGCTTGTGTGCTGGCTGGCTGGCTTGCTGGCTTGCTGGCTTGCTGGCTTGCTGGCTTGCTGGCTTGCTGGCTTGCTGGCTTGCTGGCTTGCTGGCTTGCTGGCTTGCTGGCTTGCTGGCTTGCTGGCTTGCTGGCTTGCTGGCTTGCTGGCTTGCTGGCGTGCTTGCTGTGTTTGTTTGCTTGCTTGCCTTGCCTTGCCTTGCCTTGCCTTGCCTTGCCTTGCCTTGCCTTGCCTTGCCTTGCCTTGCCTTGCCTTGCCTTGCCTTGCCTTGCCTTGTTTGTTTGGGTTTGTTTGTTTGCTTGTTTGTTTGTTCGTTTGTGTGTGTGTGTTTGTTTGTTTGCTTTTTTGTTTGTTTGTTTGTGTGTGCGGGGGTGTTTGGTTGTTTATTTCTTGCTTTGTGTGTTTGTTTGTTTGTTTGGTTGTGTTGTGGTTGTATTGTGTGGTTGTGTATTTGTGTGGTTGTGTGGTGCGTGGTCGTGTGTGTTGTGTTTGTGTGATTGCGCGTGCGCGTGTGTGTGTGTGTGTGTGGGTGGGTGCTTGTGTGCTTGTGTGCTTGTGTGGTTGTGTGTCTGTGTGTCTGTGTGTCTGTGTGTCTGTGTGTCTGTGTGTCTGTGTGTCTGTGTGTCTGTGTGTCTGTGTGTCCGTGTGTCCGTGTGTCTGTGTGTCCGTGTGTCCGTGTGTCCGTGTGTCCGTGTGTCCGTGTGTCCGTGTGTCCGTGTGTCCGTGTGTCTGTGTGTCTGTGTGTCTGTGTGTCTGTGTGTCTGTGTGTCTGTGTGTCTGTGTGTCTGTGTGTCTGTGTGTCTGTGTGTCTGCGTGTCTGCGTGTCTGCGTGTCTGCGAGTCTGCGAGTCTGCGTGTCTGCGTGTCTGCGTGTCTGCGTGTCTGCGTGTCTGCGTGTCTGCGTGTCTGCGCGTCTGCGCGTCTGCGCGTCTGCGCGTCTGCGCGTCTGCGCGTCTGCGCGTCTGCGCGTCTGCGCGTCTGCGCGTCTGCGCGTCTGCGTGTCTGCGCGTTCCTGCTGCCTGCTGTCTGCTGTTCGCGCGTCGGTGGCGTTCGCGCGTCGCGGCGCGTTCGTTCGCGCTCAGCGCGTCGGTTCATGCTGTTCGCGCCGCCTGTCTGCGCGTCATGCTGGTTCGTCTGCGCGTCTGCGCGTCTGTCTGCGCGTCTGCGCGTCTGTCTGCGCGTCTGCGCGTCTGTCTGCGCGTCTGCGCGTCTGTCTGCGCGTCTGCGCGTCTGTCTGCGCGTCTGCGCGTCTGTCTGCGCGTCTGCGCGTCTGTCTGCGCGTCTGCGCGTCTGTCTGCGCGTCTGTCTGCGCGTCTGTCTGCGCGTCTGCGCGTCTGTCTGCGCGTCTGGGCGCCTGGGCGCCTGGGCGCCTGGGCGCCTGGGCGCCTGGGGCGCCTGGGGCGCCTGGAGCGCCTGGGGCGCCTGGGGCGCCTGGGGCGCCTGGGGCGCCTGGGGCGCCTGGGTGGGTGCCTGGCGCCTCTCGAGCGCCTGCCTGGGGCGCCTGGGGGCACCTCTCGGCGGGCTGGGCGCCTGGGCCTGAGTGCCTGGGTGCCTGGGTGCCTGGGCGCCTGGTGCCTGGGCGCCTGGGCGCCTGGGCGCCTGGGCGCCTGGGCGCCTGGGCGCCTGGGAGCCTGTGCGCCTGGGCGCCTGTCCGCCTGTGCGCCTGTGCGCCTGTGCGTCTGTGCGCCTGTGCGCCTGTGCGCCTGTGCGCCTGTGCGCCTGTGCGCCTGTGCACCTGCCTGTGCGCCTGCCTGTGCGCCTGCCTGTGCGCCTGCCTGTGCGCCTGCCTGTGCGCCTGCCTGTGCGCCTGCCTGTGCGCCTGCCTGTGCGCCTGCCTGTGCGCCTGCCTGTACGCCTGCCTGTGCGCCTGCCTGTGCGCCTGCCTGTGCGCCTGCCTGTGCGCCTGCCTGTGCGCCTGCCTGTGCGCCTGCCTGTGCGCCTGCCTGTGCGCCTGCCTGTGCGCCTGCCTGTGCGCCTGCCTGTGCGCCTGCCTGTGCGCCTGCCTGTACGCCTGCCTGTGCGCCTGCCTGTGCGCCTGCCTGTGCGCCTGCCTGTGCGCCTGCCTGTG